AAAAAAAACTGGAAAAAAGTCAAACACCATAATTTTTACATTTTTTTTTTTAATTTTATTAAATGAAAACAAAAAATGTCGAAAATAACATAAAATTTTAAAATGAGTTTAGAGTAAGAGAGAGAATTAAGAATAAGTTTAGTATGGCCTTCAAACGGCCAATGAAACCGTCACACGCTGCCGAAATGTTGCTCTGCAGTATTTTGGCCAATTTCCGGAGAAGTGCTTGCTTGAGGTGATCGATTCCCAAATTCTCCAGTCACAATAGTCCAACGGATTGGTATCTGGAGATTTTGGTGACCATTGTGCGCTGTGCATGAAGCGAGGATCCTCATTTTGTAACCATTCTTGGCTGTTGCATACTGAGTGCAATGGTGCTGAGTCCTGTTGGAATGTCCAAGGTCTGCGGCCAAAATGTTTGCGTGCCCATGGCTTTAATACACCCTCCAGAATATTTTCGCGGGTTTCGATCAAGTCACTTGTTTATTTTTCGAATCATTTCTTCTGATGTTACTGTTTTCTGCCGTCCACTTCCTTGACGTCGGGCTATGCTATCAGTATCACGGTAACGAGCGATAGTACGATACACAAAAGATTTATTCACATTTAAATGGTGAAGTGCTCTAACGATAGCCACTTGTGGCTTTCCAGCCAAATATAAAGAAATCACGCTTGAATTGCATTACGAATTACTTTTTTCTGTCGGACGAATGGCTTAGAAATGACAGCAGTCTGAAGTTGGTTGCAATTTTTTATCTCACCCTGTATATATATATATAATCAATATGATATTCAAAAAGCCTGCCTTTGACTTCCTCCAAATCCTTCATTACTAATTCAAAATATCCGCATTGGATATAAATGAAGTTTGCTGCTTAAGTCTTTTGTTTTCTAATATAACAAATATTTGACCCACATTCGTTTTCAACCCAGAAAAAAAATACACTTAAACGTCATTTACATTGGAACTTTTTACATAGTTAACCTACTTTATGAGGATATATTTGACATATATACAAAGGAATTGACAATTGAAACCCACTGGGTTAACGAAATCCGGTTAAATGTAAACGTACTATTAAACGATTACAATTAAATCAATTTTATTTCCTTAATTCTCTATGTGAGCCATCTAATACACATTTTCATATGTTCCGACTCAATCACGAACTATTGTAGATGTGACATCACTGTCATTCAATGTCATGCCTCTGTTAGCCTTAATTTCTTCCGTTCTCTTGCAGATAATTTTCCCTCTTAAAATTCTAAGTGGAAAATTGAGCAGTTATTTGTCCAATTGTACAACAACAGCAATCAACAATTCTAGTTCTGTTAACAACATGACAATTGTAAACAAAAAGAACAACCAAAACAACAGCAACAACCACAACAACAATCAAAGTAAATTGTCTATAACATCAATGAGAATGACGTTGTTGTTGTTTTTTTTTTTGTTGTTGGTCTAACCAAAATTGGGTAAATGAAGAATATAACATGTTTACAATGCTCGCATGTATAATGTCCGTATGTATGCATATGTGTGAGTGTGTATGTAAACAAAACGTTTACTCAATAGACCCCCAACTTCATCATACATGTTTGGTGTTTGAGTTATTACCGGTTGTTGGGGAAGTATCTTCTAATGGTTCGAGGTGGCAGTGCTGGTGGTAAATTGTGGTGTCGAAAAAAAGCTTCTTATTGTGCGTTTTGTGTTGTTGTTTTTGTATGGATAGTGTTATTGTTGCTTTTGTTTTTTGGTGATCTTTTTTTTGCAATTATGGTTGTTAAATTCAGATTAAGCCGATGTGGTCTCCAAACAATTGCGTATTGTATCATCTATAATTGTAATGTTTAGACATTATCTGAACTTAATACACTATAGAAAATTATTTATTTTTGTTAGCCATAGTTTTGCTGAAAGATATATTCTCATTGTTCGGTAGATTATATAGAAAGCTAATTGTTTTGAAAAAAAAAAAATAAATAAATAAATTTCACAAAATAGTATTAATGATTTCAAATTATATAACAGGATATTTCGATTAAAGGTGGTGAAGATTAAAAATTATTTATTTATTTCTCAGAGGAACAGCTTTCCTTTATGTTCCAGCTATATAAAAGTAACAAGTAAAACGTACACCCTCCACCACATGAGGTTGGAATTCAAAATATCTAACATCAGTTAGGATTTTTTGTGGGGCTTTTGCCACGGTATATTGGCTCAATGGAGAAAATAAAGAAAGAATTGACAACGAAAATGTGACATTAGAGCCAAAACCGAACCATGAGTAGCTAAGGGCTACCCCGAAACTTGTGTCAATATCAGATATTTTTCTTGATTAGTAACAAATATGTAAATCGTTAAATCATTGAAAATGTTTGCCTTGCATAAATATGTTTGTATGTGCATGTCATACTTTTTATTTATTTATTACATTATTTATTCCATTAGCATGGCTTCAAAAAAAAACAAAAGACTTAAGCAACAAACTCCATTGATATCGAATGCGGATATTTTTTCTTTAGTAATGCAACAATCGACAAAGGTAGCCAAAGGCAAACTTGTACAATATTAGTAATTTGTTGTAATATTTTGTTTTGTAAACTTGATGATGTTGTTGTAATCGACAATGTATTAAGGAATTATTATTATATAATCATTCAGATAAAATCAGTAGTTAGTAGTTTTTATCTTATATATCACCATCATTTAATTTAGCCTTGCTAAAAATATAAGGATCAAATAGTTTTTTTTTGTTTTTATACCAATTTCGGCAATCGGTTTGAGGGAGATACTTCAAAGGGTGGTCCGATTATCCCGTTTTTCGGGTGCTCTTTTTGAGAAAATGATTTCAACCAAGCACGGAATATGTAAAGGGTCTTTGTACAATTTTTCAACGTTGATGATTGTAAGTTTAGAAATTTGCAAGACCAAAAATAATTCTATAATGATAGAATCTTGTTAGATGAGATTAACGGCGGGAGTCTTTCATAGACGAGCTGAAGCCCTTGCTTGGGCTGAACGGGAGTCTTTCATAGACGAGCTGAAGCCCTAGCTTGGGCTGAACGGGAGTCTTTCATAGACGAGCTGAAGCCCTTGCTTGGGCTGAACGGGAGTCTTTCATAGACGAGCTGAACCCTTGCTTGGGCTGAACGGGAGTCTTTCATAGACGAGCTGAAGCCCTTGCTTGGGCTGAACGGGAGTCTTTCATAGACGAGCTGAAGCCCTTGCTTGGGCTGAACGGGAGTCTTTCATAGACGAGCTGAAGCCCTTGCTTGGGCTGAAAGGGAATCTTTCATAGACGAGCTGAAGCCCTCGTTGGGCTGAAAGGGAGTCTTTCATAGACAAGCTGAAGCCCTCGTTGGGCTGAAAGGGAGTCTTTCATAGACGAGCTGAAGCCCTCGTTGGGCTGAAAGGGAGTCTTTCATAGACGAGCTGAAGCCCTCGTTGGACTGAAAGGGAGTCTTTCATAGACGAGCTGAAGCCCTCGTTGGACTGAAAGGGAGTCTTTCATAGACGAGCTTTCAGCCCAACGAGGGTCTTTCGAGCTGAAGCCCTGAAGTCTTCATGGGCAAGCTGAAGCCCCAGGCTATCTAGAATCACTGGCTTGAATCAGTTCGCCTTTAAAGACTCCCTTCAACTCATTTTAAATCTTCCATCGCCTTACCTTTGCCTTTTTTGTGATTGCTCCCCTATGTTATAAAAATATTTTCGAATTCCACCAAAGAGTGATGTCCAACTTGGATTGTTTAAAAAAGAAGGTAATTGATTAAATTTGATTCGATTTTTTAAAAATTAAGTTCGAGTTCCACATAGAGTCTCTCTTGTTTCTTAAGTGTTTTGTTAACCCACTCTATGTTGATTGTTCTCCTATTTTGTTTTTTTTTTAACATAGTTTTTCGGCATCCAACTTGGATATATATATATAAATATATATAGGGGTGACTGGGGCACCTTCGGCATCGGGGCACCTTCGGCAATCGCGTTTTCGATATGAAGCTCTCACCGTACATCACTAGTTTCGATACATAGGTATCGAATGTCGAAATTAATAACTGACACAAAGTTTGAAATTTCTAGCTAATAAGCTTATTTAGATACATGGGTTTTTGTATTTTTATAGGTGTTTCTGTAATATTTCAATTTCATTTCGTAAGTATTTCGTGTATAAACCTTTTAAAATTTTTAAAAAAAATATTGTTAAAAAGTGGTTAACTACGATGTGTATTATTATAAAATTTTTTAAAAATATAATGTTTTTACAAATCTGATCGAAAAAAATGAAAAAAACTATAAAAAGTACATTCGGGGTACATTCGGCATTTTAAAGTGGGGCACATTCGGCCATATACCGATTGTGCAATAATATTTCTTTAAAATGTTTTTGAGTTTGTCTTTAAGATTAATCCTTTAATATGGCTCGAAATTGCATATATAAGATCAAACGTGCTTGTATTGACGAAAATGCGATAGAAAACCTCTATTTCTGATGGTGAGTGCGACCTTGAGATGTAAACGTCCGCCGCTAGAAAATAAAGCCCTAAAATTCAAACATTATGTGGCGTATTAAAACCAAATAGAGCCTTTAGAGGATCAGAATTTCAACCAGACTGATAGCGATGACAATTACCCGGCTATGACTATGGTGCCGAATGTGCCCCATCAAATGCCGAAGGTACCCCGGGTTGGGGCACATTCGGCGAATTTGACTTTTTTTACAAAACTGTAAAATTTTTTAACTAATACTATTTTTTTATATCTTTTTGGTACTATTTTTTATAATTAAGGGTCAGAGGACAATAATCAGCCATAAAGTTGTTATATATGTTGAACAAGTACTGAGATATAGAGCTCTAAAAAAAAAGTGCCGAAGGTGCCCCAGTCTCCCCTATATTTACAGAATTTTTTTTGTGTAACTGTAAGTTATTTTTATAAATAATGAAATGAATGATTTATAATAATACGAAAAAATAAAAAAATGCATAAAAAATTTACTTACTTGCAGCCTGCATTATTAGCATGCCGATCACAATGAAATTCATATTGCCGGTGGTGTGCCGTTTATTTTTTGTTGTATTTTTTGTTTGGTGATAACCTGTGCGGTGTACGGTGGCTAAACGTTTTGCCCTGCTTCTTTTTTTCTTTTCTTTCTTTCAAACAAGAAAGAAATTTCAAACAAAAAACACACTTTTGTTTGTTGTTGGTTTTTTTTCACTCTCAAATAATTTGTTTTTTAAATTTATTAGTATTTTTTATTTTTCTATCTTTATTTATTTTTTGGTGTGTGTTGTTTCTCTGGTGATATCTGGTTTAAAGATGCGTGCCAAAAATTTGATTATTTTTTTTATTTAAAATTAAAAAAAAGTCGTTCACTGAAAGTGAAATTGTTTATCTTAGATTTTTTTCCACCGAAATGAAATTAAAAGTTGTAACCGTATTGAAATCATCTTTATATGACTTAATCTTTATGCGGCCATAGTCCACGGTTTTAGTTTCTATATTTGCTTAAAGCGTGTTATTTAATTTTTAGTAGTCCTCAATCTTAATCTGGTGCTTCTTCTTTTTCTCGGCTAGCTTTGGCTTCTTATTGCTTACAACAACAACAAAATCCAAACCCGAGAAAAGTTTTTTATGTAAATTTATTTGTCTTGCTTAACAAATTGTAGTTGTTTTTGTTGTAGCTTTTTTGGTTTGTCATTCAAACTGAAGAAATGCACGCAGAACCGGTGCTGTGCTGGAATTTTTTCGAACGACCATTGAAAGACACCGAATGGAAAAATAAAATAAAACCAACTATCATTGAGCTATAAGTGTGTGTCTGTGTATGCGTAGCAAAAATTTATGTGTGTTTGTGGCTGATGTTTTTGTAAACAAAAAATATTCAACACTCTCTCTTTCCATATATGTGGCTGGGATGGAACAGACACCGTACAGTTGGTCATGGGGGTTTATAACGAAATTAGATTTATGTCGAAGCTTTTTTTAAGAAAGTTCTCAAAAGGGTGGGGAATGTTGTTTTCCAAGGTCATTGTATTGAGAGCAAAACAATGCAAAGGTAGGTAAACAAAAGACTTAAGAAATAAACGCGGAGTATTTTTGGACGATGTTAAAGAGAGTTTCTATAGACAAGTGGAAGGGAGTCTGTCAGGGGCGAAGTGAAGGGAGTCTTTCTGAGGCAAAGTGAAGGAAGTTTCTATAGACAAGTTGAAGGGAATTTTTATAGACTAACAGGGGAGTATCTAAAGTCGACCTGAAACCATTTGGCTGAAAGGGAGTCTTTCATAGACGAGTTGAAGCTCTTGGCTGTGGAGAGTCTTTTATGGACGATTTGAAGCCCTTGGGCTGAATGGGAGTCTTTTATATACGAGCTGAAGTTTTTGAGCTGATGTCTATGAAAGACAAGCTGAAGCCCTTGTGGGCTGAATGGGAGTCTTTCATAGACGAGCTGAAGCCCTCGTTGGGCTGAAAGGGAGTCCTTCATAGACGAGCTGAAGCCCTCGTTGGGCTGAAAGGGAGTCTTCTATAGACGAGCTGAAGCCCTTGGGCGGAATGGGAGTCTTCTATAGACGAGCTGAAGCCCTTGGGCGGAATGGGAGTCTTCTATAGACGAGCTGAAGCCCTTGGGCGGAATGGGAGTCTTCTATAGACGAGCTGAAGCCCTTGGGCGGAATGGGAGTCTTCTATAGACGAGCTGAAGCCCTTGGGCGGAATGGGAGTCTTCTATAGACGAGCTGAAGCCCTTGGGCGGAATGGGAGTCTTCTATAGACGAGCTGAAGCCCTTGGGCGGAATGGGAGTCTTCTATAGACGAGCTGAAGCCCTTGAGCTGATGGGACCCTTTCATAGACGAGCTGAAGCTTTTGAGCTGATGAGAGTCTTCCATAGAAGCTCTTGAGCTGAGGTGGGAGTCTTCTGAATCGCTTGGACTGATGGGACCCTTTCATAGAAGAGCTGAACCTCTTGAGCTGATGGAAGTCTTTCATAGACGAGCTGAAGTTTTTGAGCTGATGTCTATGAAAGACAAGCTGAAGCCCTTAAGCTGATGGGAGTCTTTCATAGACGAACTGAAGCTCTTGAGCTGAGCTGGGTGTCTTCTGAATCGCTTGGACTGATGGGACCCTTTCATAGAAGAGCTGAACCTCTTGAGCTGATGGAAGTCTTTCATAGACGAGCTGAAGCTTTTGAGCTGATGTCTATGAAAGACAAGCTGAAGCCCTTGAGCTGATGGGAGTCTTTCATAGACGAACTGAAGCTCTTGAGCTGAGCTGGGAGTCTTCTGAATCGCTTGGACTGATGGGACCCTTTCATAGACGAGCTGAACCTCTTGAGCTGATGGAAGTCTTTCATAGACGAGCTGAAGCTTTTGAGCTGATGTCTATGAAAGACAAGCTGAAGCCCTTGAGCTGATGGGAGTCTTTTATAGACAAACTGAAGCTCTTGAGCTGAGCTGGGAGTCTTCTGAATCGCTTGGACTGATGGGAGTCTATAAACGAGCTGAAGTCCTTGGGCTGAAAGGGAGTCTTCTACACACGAGTTGAAGGCCTTGCGCTGATGGGAGTCTTCTTTAGGCGAGCTGAAGCCCAGGGGGCTGATGGGAGTCTTCTATAGACGAACTGAAGGGAATATTTCAAAGCCTATCCTCAGGCGTGGATTTTTCAAAAGAATATTTCAAAGCCTTGAATATGGGCTTTTTTTAAAGAATATGGATTTTTTTAAGAATATTTAAATTTCTATCCTCAGGCGAGGATTTTTTAAAAGAATATTTCAAAGCCTATTCTCAGGCGTGGATTTTTCAAAGGTATATTTCTAAGCCTATCCTCAGGCCTGGTCTTTTTCAAAAGAATATTTCAAGCCTATCCTCAGGCGTGAATTTTTCAAAGGTATATTTCTAAGCCATAGTTCAATTTCAAACCTATCCTCGGCTCTATTTCAGGCCTATTCTCAACTCCATTTCAGAGCATATTCTTAGCTCTACTCCAGAGCCTATCCACAGCACTCTACACGTCGAATTTTCAAAGCCTTTTCCCAGCTCTATAGGCTTGAATTTTTTAAAGCATATTTTTATTTCAGATTCTATCCTCAGTTCTATTTTAAATCCTATCCTCAGCTCTATAAGCGTGTTTTTACGGATATTCCAAAGCCTACAAACATGGATATTTAAAAGAATATTTGACTGTTCTCAGTTCTACTTATCGAGGTCTAGCCAAAGCCTGGAGTTTTTCAAAACAATTTTTCGAGGTTCAAAAAAGCACTTTTTTAAAAATTATCTTTCAAGCCTCTTTCTTAAATAAATTTTTTTTCGACCATATTTTTTTTTTCGTCAGATGACGTGTAGGAACCTCCGATCCTCGCCCAACTATTTTTTCTAGGTCCATGCTAAGCGTGTATTATTAAAAAAAATATTTTTTCCCACGTAATCCCACACATATTTTTTTCAAGTTCATCCTAAGCCTGTTTTTTAATCATTTTCGAGGACGACGGAATGTGTCAATTTTTAAAAAATCCCCCATGTTCATATTCCAAAAATATTATCTTTTCTTCTTATTTGCAAATTGTGTAGCATTCTCCACACTTCGCCTAACTCCACCACCTGTACAACCATTCAAGCATTCATACATCCATCCATCCACTTGCCATAAATAATCGTGTTATATTTATTTAAAGTAAAAGTGGACACAAAACGAATGACCGATCGATCCGACCAAATGACCGACGACAATAAAGCACACACACAACAACAACACATATCAATGGAACGGAAAAAGTGGACAAATACAAACAAATAAACGCACAACATATTGTTATATGTGTAAATTATACGACTGTCTGTCATATTGACTCTTCGTCAATTCGTCATTAAGTTGAGGCGGCGAAAAAAATGGAAGTTGGGATTTTTTTTTTATTTTTGGATTTTTTTGTTGTTGTTGTTTTCTTTTTTGCTTCTTCCTCCGCCTTAAAAAAAAGAGTTGAGTGGGCCAAGTTAACAATTGTAACAGCCAAAAATGACGACAATGGCAAAAGTGCTGCTGCTGCGGCTGCTTATGATGATGATAATAATAGCAGTGTTTATGATGAGTAATGTGTCATGCGTTACAGGTGGGCTGGTCGCTGGCCAAGAAAAAACAACAAAAAACTGAAGCAATGACAAACGGTGTAATCTAATTTTTTGTTGAGGTTATTTATGACAAAGTGTTTTTGTTATAACAACAAATTACAGATTTATTTGAAATATTAACACAACAAACACACACATACGCAAATCTATTCACATTTCTACAATTACACAGAAAACAATACAGGTATTTACGGGAATAGATTATATAAATCGAAATGCTGCGAATTAATTTTTGTATAGGAGAAGGTGTGGGTTTTGAAAAAAAAACTGCATACAAAATTACGTGGAATTTCACAAAATAAATATTAAATTCAAAACTAAAAAATCATAATTTGACAAAAAAAATTAGAAATGGATCAGAAGGGTATCTGGTGGTTAATATTATAACAAATAATAAATTCTCTAAAATTGGACGAAATTATACATGGTCAAATATTATCTCAACCATTTTTATAGTCTCAATTGAGTAATTTTTGCAAAATTTCGGATTCGCAACCGAAGGGACTGTAATTTGCATTCGAGATTCTTGGATGGTACAATCATATTCAGACCCACTCCACTTCAAGTATTTTCATAATCCTCGGCTTATTTTTAACATAAATTGATTTAGTTTGGCATTCCTAATTTAGGTACAGAAAATTTTTCGATACACGTTCGTATGTTTGCATTGTCCGCAGTTATAGGTCCAGCTATATTTTTACGTATTTCGCAATTCGACATTCCGCGGGAAGTCTCTTTAGATGAGCTGAAGAGGACTCTATAGACTAGCTGAAGGGTGAGTCTCTACCGACTAACTGATGAGAGTCTCCACAGACAAGCTAAAGCGGAGATTCTCTCTAGACGCACTGGGAAGTCTCCATGGACGAACTGAAGGGTGAGTCTTTATAAACCAGCTGAGGGGAGCATTTGTAGACAAAATGATTGGAGTCTTTGTGGACGAAATGAGGAGAGTTC